CAAAATCTTTTGAAATTGGTGATGGTCTTTAAGGACCATCATGCTCATATGGACCATCACTTATTAAAAGTTTCTTTTCCTTTTCTTTTCTTTTTTTTTTAAAATTTTAAGATTATTACAATGCCACTTCCAGTCACTTTCATTCTGCCTCCACATCTGTTACCCCTGTATCCTTGCCAGATCTTCACTCTATTGACTCAATTAGACTTTAACAACTTGCTCAGGTTTGGCTGCTATGGGTTTTTCAGGTAACTCAAATCTTTTATCAAACACTTGGATCATAGACTTAGGGGTATCAAATCATTTGACATGACAACTTTCGTATTTATCCTAAGTAAAACCCCATTCTGAAAATAGTACTTATTTTACTGCCAATGGGTCTCCACTTCATGTTACCCACTCTGGTAATATCAATATCCTCGGTCCATCTGGTAACTTCTTAGCATTGAAAGATGTTCATCATATTCCCAATTGTCATTTGAATTTAATATCTGTTGGCCAGTTAGTTGATATTAAGTGCCTTATTTCTTTTTCTAATAAAGGTTGTGTGGTGCGAGATCTAACAACAGAGAAAGTGATTGGAAGAGGCACTAAGCAGGATCAGTTTTTCACAGTTAGTTTCAGTGAAGCTCCTTCTCATCTTTTACAAGCTCTGCCAATTTGTCATCTTAACCCTTATCCTCATGAAATAAGTCAATCAAGTTCTCTTTAGTATGTTCGGCATTATAGGTTAGGACACCCACATTCTCAAAAAATGCTTTATCTTTTAAACTCTGAGATTTTACTTGTTGTTTTCTCTCATAGAAAATTTTATAAGAATATTGTTTGTGAGAGTTACAAGTTAGCAAAACACTTGGCTCAACCTTTTCCTCATAGCAATAATAAAAGTATTCATGATTTCTCTTTAGTGCACTCTGATGTTTGCGGACCTACTCATGTTCCTTTAATTAATGAATTTTCTTATTATGTGATATTTATTGATGACTTTTCTAAATATACTTGGATTTATTTTCTCAAACACAAGTCAAGTGTGTTTAATGTTTTTAAAGACTTTCATAATATGATAAAAAATCAATTGGAGAAAAACAATAAAGTTTTTAGGTCAGACTCTGGGGGGGAGTATCTATCTAATGAATTTCAAGTATTTCTTCGTACAAAGGACATTATTCATCAATGTTCATGTCACCATACCCCGGAACATAATGGAGTTGCTAAAAAAAACATTGTCATATTCTTGAAACCACTCGTTCTCTTCTTATTAGCTTTCATTCCCTAAATAACATTTGGGCTGAAGCAATGTTTACTGTTGTCTATATTCTTATTCTTCTTACACCGATTTTGTAAAATGTGTTACCATTTCAAAAGCTTTTTAAAAAACCCCCTGATTACTCATATTTACATGTGTTCGGGTACACATGCTTTGTACTTTTACCATCTTCTACCCATGATAAACTCTCACCTAAGTCTACCAAATGCATGTTAGTAGGTTATCCAATAAATCAAAAAGGATATTATTGTTTTGATCATTCTATTAATCGTAATAGAATATCTTGGCATGTTACATTTTTCGAGCACATACCCTTCTACCAACACTGCCCACACCCAAATTCAACCATAGATGGACCTGAGTTTTCATTTTTTCCTAGTTTTGATATTCATCCTTCTCATTATCATGAAAATCAAGGATTATCACCTTCAGTAACTAACTCTGATGAGTCATCTTTGTCAAGTGCTAATCATGCATCACCTCCAATTGTTGATCATTCTATCGGTCCTATTCACCTTCGATGGTCATTTCGAAAGCCCATTCCACTTGAACGTCTTAACTTACCAGTGGTTAGCCCATACCATACTTGTTCTCCTGCAACCATTACTAATCCATTGTTTCATGAGTCATCTTCTTATTCTCAAACATCTAACTTCCAATGCTGGTGTATAGCTATAAATGAGGAAATTACAGCTTTAGAGGCAAATCATACTTATGATGTGGTCCCATTGCCCCCAGAAAAGTATGCCATTGGTAGTAAATGGGTTTATAAAGTCAAGTTACAAGCTGATGGAACTCTTGATCGGTACAAGGCCCTAGGGTTATACCCAGGAGCATGATATCGTTATGAAGAAATTTTTGCTCCAGTTGCTAAGATGACAATTATTCGTACTTTTATTGCACTAGCATCTATTCGTGAGTGGCCCATATGGCAGATGGATGTAAAAAATGCATTCCTTAATTGTGAACTTCAAGTTTACATGTATCAACCACCTGGGTTTGTCTCTGAAGATACGTCATTCGTTTGTCGGCTTCGTAAAGCAATTTACGATCTCAAATAAGCTCATCGTGTGTGGTTTGAGCGTTTTCGGGCTATCATTCTTGTAACTTGCTTCACTTAAAATAAACATGATCGCTCCATATTTATTCGTACCACAAAGCATTAAATTTGTATTATTTTATTATATGTTGATGATATTCTTATATTTGGCAATGATTTCACTTCCATCAAAAACGTGAAGTTACAATTGTAACAAGAATTTCAAATAAAGAATCTTGGGGAAGTATCTTATTTTCTTGGCCTTGAGATCTCTCCCTCTAAACGTAGTATTTACATCCATCAACAGAAGTATACACTTGATCTTGTTTCCAATGCCCACTTGAATGAAGCGAATGTTGTTGATACACCCATGGAAGTCAATGTTAAACTTTATGCACAAGCTGGAGATCCTCTTCTTAAGCCTCCGATGTATCGCAAACTCGTCGGCTCTCTCATCTATTTTATTGTGACTCGCCCAGATATTGCATATGATGTCCATGTTGTGAGTCAATTTGTTTCAAATCCTCGACGACTACATTTATCAGCAGTTAATCGAATTTTACGCTATGTTCGAGGTACTTCCATTCGTGGATTATTCTTTGACTCCACATCCTCTTTAGATCTCAGTGCATATGCAGATGCCGATTGGGCTAGTGATCCAGATACTTGCCGTTTTACTACAGGATATTGTGTGTTTCTTGGGTCATCATTAATTTCATGGAAGAGCAAGAAACATGACATTGTTTCCAAGTGAAGTACTGAAGCTGAGTATCGTGCTATGTCCTCTGTTTCTAGTGAGATTATTTGGGTTCATGCTCTTCTCAATGACTTTGGTATCTCTATTTCAAATCCCACACCTTTATTTGCAGATAACCAAAGTGCAATTAAGATTGCATCTAATATAGTTTTTCATGAACGAACAAAGCATATTAACGTAGATTGTCATTATGTTCGTGATCACTTTCTTGATGGTACATTATCTCTCCCTTATGTTTCTTCTACTGCTCTAACGGTTGATATTTTTACCAAATCTGTTACTCGGAGCTGCCATGATTTTCTAGTGGACAAATTATACTTTCCTCATGTCCACATTAGCTTGAAGGGGGATAATAATGAAATGCATAATTTTTAGTCGTCTTTTATTGTCATTGTATATTTGTGTAGGGATAATGTGGTCTACACTAAATATGTATTTGTACATAAACCTTTTTAAGGTTTCATTCCTAGTTAATGGGAATGGATCAAGACAATTTCTCTCTCTAGATTGTTCTTGAGCTCTGCATCTTCTCTAAATCTAACCATTCTTTTGTATTTTCTTTAACATTAAGGTTTGGTTTGCATACAGTTCCAACCTTAAATAATAAAAATAAGGTACACCTCCAAAATTTATCATAAGATGTAATTTTTGTGTAGAAATTCTTAGGATAGCTTGAGAATTTATTTTT